CTCTTTTCAAAGGCTGCTGGCTAAGCCACGCTGCGTGGGTTTTTTTAAGCGTGTAGGTTTTTGCTGTCATTGAGCTAGCCTCACTTCAGTGGTTGTGTGTGTCTCGTGCTCTGCAGCCTTGAACAGCTTCGTCTGGTGGCCCCTCCGCCCTGTGTGCGTCCAGCCAGAGTCAGTCCCTGAGCCGCCCGTGCTGAAAGGCACCTGTGGTGCTGAACTCTGCAGCGAGCTCGGCTCCATGGGCGTCCAGCTTCCCTGACCCACTTTCAGGAAGAGAGCAGAGTGCTTGAGGGTAATGTGTGGGCTGTTGTTCTGGAGGTGAAGATGGTTAGTGACATCAGTGTATATGTAGTGAAGAGTCCCCCATGAAATAAGCAGTTGGTGGTTTTCTGATGAGCTCTGATAGCGTCCATCATAGTCAAGCATTGTTCTTATTCGGATTGAGTCACACTCAAGCCCTGATGCCATGCATGCTCCTGACCCACCAGGGTCACCATCCCTGATTCATCCAGGCTGTATTTATGGAGCCCTGACCCCAAACCAGCCACGCTTGCTACACTGGATAAGTAACTCCTTTCCACAAAATGCCATCTGCTACTATTTTGACATTTCAGATGCTTCCTCGTGCATCTGAGATGGATCTTTTAACCCTAGCTACTAACATTAGTTAATCCCAAAAAAGACTTATTCACAGAACTAGACAAAACTTTAAAAACCAGAAGTACATCAGAGGAGAAATGCTGATTGATTTAGGTTTGCTGGCCATCTTCACGCGCCGGGTGGCCAGGCCGCTAGAGTCCAGCTCCCACTCTGCAGACGGAGTCACATCGGCTGCCTTCACAGTGTGACTTTCCTAAATACTGGCCATTGTCAACCAACCATCTAGATGTCTGCTGTCCTCCTGGTCCTAGGGCTGGTGAGGAAGTCTTGAGCTGGACATGGCAGAATATCTAAGACAGACATCTGCATCGCTTCCCCGGCCCTGGTTTGCCAAACTGAAGGACTTACACCGAAACTTGGTTTCGAGCTCCTGCTGCCTCAGCCATGGCTGTCTTAGCCTTCTGGCTGGGCTGACCAATTGCAGCCAGGATCTCGTGACACTGCCTCTGTGATGCTTGAGGTGAGCTTTATCTCTGTCCACCGAGTCCCCACACTAAGCCCCTCTCCTGGCCCAGTGAGGACCCTCCGACATACCCCCCACCATGTGTTCAGGAGGACCTCCTCTTGGTCCAGCCTGCCTGTCATGAGGGAGCGGAAGCTGAGCACCGAAGCCTGTGTCCTTCCTACATCACCCCTTCCTCTTAGGGAGAACTAGGTCGGAGCCTGGGCTCACGGCCTGGGCAAATCACTTGTACTTGCTGTGGGACCTCAGGACATCACTTAAGGAAAATGAGGTCCAGAGAGGTTATCTGAAAAGATGCAGATAATCAGGGCACAGGTTGTTGGAGGATAAGGTGGGATTATATAGGCCACAGAGCATTTTGCATGTGTTACATTCTGATTTACAGATGTCACACGAATCCCACACCTAGTGCTTGTGCTGGGCCAGACTTTCCATAGGCACTTCTCCTGCAGGATCTACTTAGGAAATGCTCAAGATACCCTCGTGGTACTAGTTCCACCCCTGAGATTCTGGCTTCGTAACTCTAAAGCACAGAATGGTGCCTTACCTAAGACTACTTAGAAACTCAGTATCTGAGCTGAGCTACCACAGGGCTAGCAAAGTAGGAGTCTCACATGGTAGATTTGCGGGTGTCATGGAGCAGATCATTTCGGGGGAGGGTCTCCTTCGGAGAACCACTGCTCTCGAGGGGGCCCGCGCTGCGCCTTCGAGCGTTTCAGTTGATGAAGACACAGGAAATTCTGCTTCTCTTCGCCCCTCAGTAACATCCTTCCCCAAACTACGGCCCCTGGATTTTCACCTCCTGGAAATGTATCCGGAACATAAATGTTCCCTCTCACCGTCCACCCCTCACACTCCTGGGGGCGTTGGGCTGCCTTGGAGGCGCACTGGGGGGAGCAGACCTCCTAATGCAGATGCTGAGTGAGGGAGGTGGCTTCCCCCATCCATCAACTCTAACTGCATTCAAACATTTTCAATATGTGGGCTCCTTGATACCTTTCACTGTATGGAAAACAAAATACAGGGAAATGATTATTGGCACAAAAAGGGGAAGCTGTAAATCTTCGAATCAGATACAGGACAGATTGGAACAATATGGGTTCTCCAAGGTCGTCGTGATAATGCACCTAACAACTCTCCTTGGGCAGGGAGCAATCTGCTTTCAATCAATCTCGCTTTTTCTGAGCAAAAATACCAATTATGTTGAAGGAAGATTTTTTTTCTCCTCCCTTTTTGATAAAGACTGCTCTCTACCCCAGAAATCATGCAGTAGCTAAAAGATACATATTTTACATGGTCTAGAATGGTATCGAACAGCTAACACCAAATGAGAAAAGCCCATCCTTCTTTTTTTCTCCTCTGTCCTGCCAGCATTTGTCTACTTCTTAAGAGAAGTGAAAGCTAATTAAAGGCTTAAGGGATAATATTGATTGCATTGGAATATATTTTATATGTACCCAGCACATTTTCAACTAAAAGAACCCTGACTCTTTCTAAGGCTGCATAAATCAGCCGGCCGAGTCTTTGATTCAAGGGTGAGAGGGTGAACTCATCTCCTTCCCTTCCACTTCTCATCCATCTGTCCAAGAGATAAATGGTTGCAGAGGAGGAAGAGAGGATGCTAGCAGATGTTCATTCAGTTCTTTGCGTACAGGAAAGGAAGGGTGGATGTTCAGGCACTGCCCTGGCCCTCTCATTGATTTGAGTCCTGCTCTGGATAATAACAGGGCTTATGTGGTAGAGAGCTGTGAGCTTCGCAACGCCTGGGGCAGGAGGCTGGCTGGGGCATTAACCTCTCGGCTCCCTCGTCTATCGAGTGGGGATAAGAACCTTGCCCGGGATCATACGTCCTTGGTGGCAGAGCAGGGATCAAACCTGGCTTACTTTCACATGCGGGGGAACCAGGGTCAGTCCTGGGGGGTGTCCTTACGTTGGCTTGTGCTGATCCTGCTCTTCATCATGGAAGTTTGTGGGCAGAAAGTATTAGAACTGCCCACAGCTGCCCCACTGTTCGTGGAGAGGTCAGGAGGGAGGTCCTGTTTCTCAGCCACTTTCTGAACACACTTGGCAAATTCAGAATCAGAAATCTTATTCGGACCACCACGTTCACGTGCGGCCTGTCCGTCCACGTACGTGCACATGGGCCGCAAGAAACACTTTAAGGTATGATGTGATACAAATGTACGTAATCCAAGTGTTTAACTTAAATTGCGTACTCTGCCATCCTGTGCATTTTAGGAAGGGACTAGTCATATGGGATTGGAGCATAAGATTTGGATGGGTGGCCCAGGGACCTCCCTCAAGCTAGCTGGCAAGAGAGCACAGTGATCAAGTTCCGATGTCTCGTGTGAGGCGGCCACTGACACTCCTTCCTCCCCGTGCCGGCCTCCACTTGCCCGATCGCTAAGTGCAGCTCCATAACAATAACAGTCCATAATGGCGATATTATTAACTGCACCGTGCGCATTATTGATTTACTCTTTGTTCGGCATCATTATCCTTTCACCAATGAGTTTACTGCATTATTCTCACATACTTAGTCAAGCACCAAATTACAACAAAAGGGCAGGCTCTTATAATGGCATCTAATGGAACATTGCATAAGTGATCATCGCTGCCTCCCATTACGAGCTGCCTCCAGCCAGTGCGCTTTCTGCCTTATTGGAATGTGCACACAGCAGTTATGAAGTGCAGGGGACCTGGCCGTTTTATTCTCCCACAGAATGCCTGTGCTTCATCTTCACCACCAGCCAGTGCCTCACAGCCCAGCCAGGGACTGAGCCTCTGCCACTCAGTCCGCGGGGCACAGGGACCTGGACTGAGCCCCTTGCTGCGACCTCTGCTGAGCCAGTGGGTTTTGTTGTACAGCCCATCCCGACGTGTGGTCCTGGGGCTAACTCTCACCAAAGTGCTTGGTCCGGATCGAGCACCATGTAGCAAATATAAATGACCACAGTATAGCCTGGTGTCCAAGTCAGACTGGTCCAGGAACCCAAAGATGTTGGGCGGGGGTTTTTATTCCAACTGTTCTGGAAGAGGGGCTCCTCTCCTCAGGGGGAGCCACGTCTCCAGAAAGAGAAGTCCAAATCACCCTGGAACAAGGCCGACAGCGCCAGCCTCCTCTCTTCCCAGCTTCTCCCCGCTTGAGGCCACTTCCTTTGGCTCTCAGAGAACTCCCCGGCGCCCTAAGGAAGCAGCTGTCTGGGGACACACAGATCTGTGGCTGATCTCCGATTCCACAGGCGTCCCATCCCCATTTAGCCCTGAGTAATGCTCACTTACTGTAAAGTGTTACATGCCCCCATTGTCGGAGGAGTTATGGCGGAAAAATGCAAAATTTTCCTTTTTACTGCTTATGGCCAGCAGAGCCCATAACGTGTCAAACCGCGCATTAGCCACCCTGATAAAAGTTCACTTTCTTACACACAAAATCATCGTTTCAGCAAGATTTGTTATCTCATTACCTGATAAGCTCTATGTCATAAAACAAGACTCATTCAGTAAATCTCCCGGGAGGACGCTTTGTGGGCAGAAAGGGAGAGATATGATTCTGCAAGGGACTTGATAATGCGCCATTTAAGCGCAAGCATAATGTCACTTATTGTTCAATGCATAAAACCACTTGGCCAAACGGTTGGGCTTTTAATAGGATTTTGTGCAGCATCAGGTGAGAAGCCATATGCCTCTTCTGTGAGGAGGCACTGAGCACCTGCCAGCACACTGCTTCGCCTCACAGCCCTCTGGGGGTGGGCGCTGGGCTTTGGTCGGGCCTTGGGAGGCGGCGATGCTTCCCTGCAGCTGCGCGCTTGCCTGTCCTGCTGGGAGTGGGTGCCTGGGTGGCCCCTGGGCGGGCCTCCTCTAACTGGCCTCTCCCATTCAGGCACATTGTGGTCTGTGGACACATCACTCTGGAGAGTGTTTCCAATTTCCTGAAGGACTTTCTGCATAAGGACCGGGACGACGTCAATGTGGAGATCGTCTTTCTTCACAAGTAAGAGGCCCCTGTTGTTTGAGACCCTCCATCCAACAAGAGCGGCACCCTGAGTGCCTGCAGGAGCGGCGGGGTGGGTAGAGTTGAGCAAGTCGTGGTCCCGGCTGGTTTATATTGACCTCATTGGAGGGGACAGGATAAACCAATGGGAAGGGAGGCGACACTCGAGCTCAGGTGAGAGCAGTTCCTGGTCTGTGGAGGCAATTCTGGCAGGTAACAATGGACTTTACTGTGGGTCATGTATGTCATTGCTGACCCCTCGGGATCCGGATCTGTGATCCAGGCATGTCACAGCGTGTGATGTGGAGTGTTAGTGCTGTGGTGTGGATACTTTATGTGCAGGAGTGACATGGTGATCAAGGAAGACACAAACAACAGGAAGCAGGCATAAGGCAACAATAGCAACAACAACTGTGGCTCCCAGAAACCTCCACTGGGGGACACCGCATGCTGGTCACTGTGCGTACAGTCTCTCCTCTAATCAACGGAGGAAGTGAAAGTACATGTCTGGGCTCAGAACACCTGATCTGAATCTTGACTCAACCCATCACTTGCTGAACGAGTTACTTAACCCGTCTGGGCCTCAGTTTTCACATCCATAAGATGGAGAGGTCATCATGGCTTCTGCCTGCCTCCTTGGGCTGTTGTGAGTGTGAAAAGTAGTTCATGTACACATGCAGAGCAGAGGCAACATGCAGTGACCGCTCCATGAGTGTCAGCTACTGCTGGGAACGGAAACATTATTAGGTCACAATCAATTTAGAAGTGAGGTCTTACTATGTTTGATTTACAGGTGAGGAAAACAAGCTAGCTCCCCTCTGCTCAGTGTTGAGATTTTAACTGTCTCATCCTCTTTGAAGTACAAGCTAGTCTGCCACAGAATGGAGAGTTGGAAGGCTCCTGCAGGAGGACATGGTTGCTTGTCTTCTTCTATGGAAATGGGACCCTCAAGGGCCTAGCCCAGCCGCAGATGCTGGAGGGACAGAGCCTACGTGTTGGTGTTGCCGTGATACGGGGTTGACCTCTCAGGACTCAGTCCTGCTCCAGGAGCCCACAGAGGTGGGCTTCCCTGCCAGCTCCTGTTCTGTGCATCCCCCTTCGGGCACTTGTTCACAGAATACCAAACTGGCCACCCTGTGGGAGCCCCAGCACTCTGCTCGGCACTGACTTCTCCGAGTTTGGAGGAGACCATCCAGGCCGTGGGCCCAGGAGCAGAACCGTAGATCAGCTCAGTGCTTAGCTGCCGAACGCCAGCTGTGGGGCGTGTCTTCTGCTGGTGTTCCGAAGGTCCGAGAGAAGTGTAGTGCGCAGGCTCTGCCCTCCTGGGGGTGAACGTTCCAAGATGAGCACCCGTGCCACACGAGAGCACGACATTGATCCTGTGTTTCCTGACTGGCCAGTTTAACCAGGTGGCAGACGGGCCTGGGCCTCTGTGCCAGGGAGAGCCCAAGGCCGTGGGAAAGGGGCACGTTGTGTGGCATCTGAAGACTGTCTGCCGTGCACAGGCAGCTGCCCTTCTCTCACCGGCGAGAGAATCAACTTAGTCTGAATCAACAAGTCGGCTTCTAATGCTTCCGTGGTTAGGACTCACCTGTGTCCCCAGCCTCCAGTAGTGTCAGCGTCATTGTAGATGGCCCAGTTCATTAACCTCTTGAAGCTTTGTGTTGATAACATACCTTCCTCTAGGGTTGTTTTGAGGTGTAAATAAGTTAATGCTGGTCATGTATTTAGAATGGTTTCTGCCATGTAATAAATGCTCAGAACATTAAACATTATTATGACTAAGTACTTAATACATGTTAGCCAAGTGTTGATTAACAGTTCTTGGCACCTTGTAGGTTCTAACTAAATACATCTCCCAGTGCCTAGTAAAGTACAGTTTAGAGAGTAGGTTTGTTCATCTCTGCAAAATGAGTGAATGAACGAATAGCTCGATGCTGTTTTAATGTGTTCTTCAGTGGGGAAGATGTCCTTACAGCTCAGCCCTCAGGATGAGGGATCGTGCGCACAGGTGCGCATCAAGAACAGCACTGAGAGTGAATGAACTGGGGCGGGGGCGGGGCTGCTCATTTCGTGGGGATGAGAACTCCATGAGGTGGAGAAGCCAGGAAAAGGCTTTTGATGAGGGGAAGAGTGGGAGGCTCTGCCAGGGGGACCTTTGTCTAATCCCTAGTGCCACCGCCTTGCCTTCTCTGTTTATAAAATAGGGATCCCATTCATAATGAAGTCGACATTTTGCCCCACACGCCTCAGACTTTGCAAAAGACTGAGCCTGTGTATTTTACCTTGGCATTGGTTTTGGTCCAGCTGAGCTGAGGTTTTACCTCTCTTGAGTGTGAGCCTTTTACTTATGAGGAGACAGGGAGGTGCTTTGAAGGGGAAAGTCTTTTCCCAGGTCTCCCTTTGTGCGAGTCAAGAGGAGGGGCCACGGAGGCTGAAATACCTGCGTCTGTCGTACTAATGGCTGTTTCTTCTCTCCCTGCACAGCATTTCCCCCAACCTGGAGCTTGAAGCTCTGTTCAAACGACATTTTACTCAGGTGGAATTTTATCAGGGTTCAGTCCTCAATCCGCATGATCTTGCGAGAGTCAAGGTAAGAAGGAGGGAGCAACTTCTGCTTTTACTCCATCTAAGAGGGGGTGCCTGACTTGGTGGTGAGGGGACATGCCTCCCAGGATGGCGGAGTCACCTCCCAACCCTAATGCAATAAGTCAGATACCAGCTACCTCAATACCACCCTGCCACCTGTCCCAGGACTTGGTTCTGCTGGTGCCTGGCAGGCCACCTGTGAGCATTCCACACCTGCAGTAACCGGGACAGAAACTCCTTTCGCTAGTTCTCTGGGTATCAGCGCTGCCGAAGACTAGGGTGTGGACTCAGTACTTTATATTCAATGTAATAATTAAGTCCTTCCCATCTTGAATACTTAAGTCGGACTCAACATAGCTCTGAAATCTATTATTTATATCAGAAAGGAACATGAAGGATAAAACACAAAACAAAATTTTACCAAGCAATAAAATATTTTGAGTCCCCACCCCACAAAGACTAAGGCACAGAACTAAACATACAGGTATCTGATCTCACTTAGTAATGGGCTAATCTTTCTGCTAAGGTGGAATCTTCTTAGAAAGCACACCCAATGCTTATAAGGGAATAGGTACAGCAAAGTCATTACATCTCAAGTCTGTGAGCACGCTGACTGTCTGCACGCCAGGGAGTGTACCCTGGAATTGTGAATCCGCTGACATCTAAATGCTGACTGTGGTCACCGACCGCATCATTCAGGAAATAATGTGATTGGCAAACATGAATAAGCCAAAAGGAATTGGGTAAATTCTTTGGGTTATTAAAGAAAACCAGAGACATGTTGTGAATAGCATGGAGGGAAGCATGCCCTTCTCCAAATGCAGGAAGGGCCTGCTAAGCACAACATGCCAAGGAGGACAGGTGGCAGGCCTGAGCCAGCAGGAGAGTTCTTAGAGTCCAGGTCATCTTCAGTTCACCCAGACATGATCCAAATGACAGCTGTGAGAACTTAGAGAAAGTAGTTACTGTTCTTGGACCTAATTTTGAGGTGAGCAAATATTAGCACAGCTCACGATCCCCTCGAAGGAATCAATTATTTTGGGCTCATGTTTAAATAAGTCAGTAGGTTATAGTTTGAGATCATCTGTAACGCATCATTTCATAACAGATAGATCTGTTGTCTTTTGAATATCGGAATGATAATTGAATACTAAACAGTACTAAGCTGTTATCTGATTCAGGGCTCTCATTTCCTTTTATTCCCCAGTTAAGATGTGAAAAAGGTTAGATGAAGGATTTCAGAGTCTAAATTACTGAATCCTCAACTCCTCAGTCATCTTGGTAACCTGAGAGAAGGGGTTCAGTGCACCTAACTCTATTTTCTGCCTGGAAAAAATAGGATCATGGTGGGGAAAGTAGGTGGGGGGACCGAAAGTCTTCATTAATTGTTATTTAAAGAAATCTGCAAAGCTCACTTGTAAGACTGCAAAATGAACAGTGTAATTACTAAGGTACATGTTCCCCCCAACAGCAAAAAAGATGAATTGTTTATATCATAACAAGACTTGCAACCTACATTTTTGTCAAAACTATAATCTCTCAGGACTCCTTTAAAAATGTTTCTTGCAAAGGACCAGGTTCCCCAAGAGCTGTTCACAGAGAGAGACTGCTCCCAAGCATGGCCACTTACGTGTTTGTGCCCTTTGGTTTTCCTTCGGCGTCTTAGATAGAGTCAGCAGATGCGTGCCTCATCCTTGCCAACAAGTACTGCGCAGACCCCGATGCTGAGGACGCCTCCAACATCATGAGGTAACCTGGGGGGGGCAGGGAGGCTCTTGGGGCTCTGCATCCCATGTGCTGTCCCTTTGGGTCCTCTGCAGCTTGCCACCTGCAGATGCCTGGGGGAGCTGAGGCTGTGGTGAGTGTGGAGGGCAGTGACACAAGGCCTCGTCAACAGGAAGTTCACCCTCAGAAGTGGGAGCTCGGGGGTCCTGAGTTTGAGATCCTTTAGGCAGGACTGGAAAAGGAAACATACATTTAAACGGCCAGAGGCCTGAATTAAGGTGCTATGTTACCTAAGGGGGAATAGACCTGAGATACCTTAACCGGGGAAGATTTTGTCTCTCGGGACCTTTTTACGTCTGGGATGTTCTTGGTTGTCGTAACGAGGGGACAATCCTGCTTATGCCTGGTGGGTAGAGACCAGTATTGCACTCAACACCCTGCAACACAGAGGCCAGCTGCCCACAGCAGAGGATCACGTGGCCCAGAATGTCAATGGTGCGCAGGATAAGAAGCCCCATGTCAGAGCTTCCAAGTGTGCCTGCAGCTCATTGATTACTTTCACCCACAAAGGGGCTTGTTTGTGAAAGCTTTCTCAATGCTTTTAATCTTGATACGAATTGTTGTTTTTTATCCTCACCGGAGGACATTTTTCGATATTTTGTTCAGATAGAGAGGGAGGGAGAGAGAGAGAGAGAGAAACATCGACATGAAAGGGACACATCGAGTGGCTGCCACCCGCATGACCCAACCAGGGCCAGGGACAAACTGCAACCGAGGTACGTGCCCTTAGCGGGAACCCAACCCGGGTCTCTCTGGACCACAGGTCGATGCCCTAACCGCTGAGCCAAACCGGCCAGGGCAAATGTTGATATGAATTTTTAAGAAAATGTGCTATAGAGAATTTCTCAAACCTATTTGACTACAAGCCCCCGCCCCATTTTTACAGAACATTTCCTGGGGTGGGGGCACTTTGGAGATACTGCCCAGCAGATGGGCTCGCCTGTGAGGCCATTCTCTGCCCAACTGCTGTTCCTCACTGTTTCAGGAGGAAACTGTCTGCTTTTGTTCTTTTCATAGACCCCTATTCCGTACACCCTGTGACTAGGAAATGCCTACAAAGTTAAGATATTTCGCTCCAGATAGTTAAAGCCCTTTTGAAATCTTCTCTCCTGCAGCATAAATTGCGGAGTCATTAAGAATGCAGGGAGGGAATAATAAAGAGAAACTTCTGGAGAAGAGATGAACTAAGACAACACATTTCACTCCCACTGTATTCCCAGGAACTCTTGCCTAATTGCGAACAGCCATCCTCTGGGTCTGGTCAGATTCCCGTCTCCCTGCAGCTTGGTGTCCTCGTCCTAGGAATTCCCTGAGGTGGGGGTTGGGAAGTTGCCTTTGCATCATCGCTGTGCTCATGTCTCCTTTCTGTGCCTTTAATCAGTGGCCCCGAGTGACATGAGCTTTCCCATCAGTGAGGTGGGGGAATTCCTCTGTGCGTTTCGGATGAGCAGGGCCTCCCCTCGGCATCTGGTCCTTGTGTCTGGAAGCAACATCTGGCGCAGTGTTCTCTTTCCACTCTCTTTCCTTTGGCAATATGATTAGTGCAGTCGTTTAAGGAAGTTGATGCATGAGCTCTTGTAAGCGTCGGACCTGCCAGGCTGCAGGGAGATGGGGAAGGAGGACCTGCTCCCACACCTGGTCCCAGCCCCTGACTAGTCACAGCTGGAAGTGACTACAGCCCCCGCAGCGTAAGGTGGGCAGCCTGCCCCTTCCTTGGACTAGGATTTCAGTCCTTCACCATGTTTGTGTGTCATTTGAAGTTATAAAACATGTAGACTTTAAGGAACTAGGCTTTATTATCTTCAACATTTCATCTAAAAAAATCTGAAGAAGATGAAGCTTAATGTGTTGAGCCCACAGACAAGTTTGAGGCTGGCACTGCCTTCAAAAGTGACTAATTGAAATGATAATAGCTTCGAAATGGGCATTTCTCTTCATCCCAATAGTTTATGTAAGCCCTGACTATGATAGGGTTAATATGAAGACATATAGTTACTAGGGCGATGGGCATGATGCCAAGGCATAAAGATTTGAACAAAGGTAGTATCAGAAATGTAACGGAGCCATCCACTAACCAGAATCAGAACTAAGTCCCAGGCAGGCCAAGGACATGGGAGGTTCAGGGTTAAAAATGGGCTCTGTCTTCCCCTTATTTGTATAATCCTCCTTCCTCCTTAATTTAATGAGACCAATCTGCCCTGTTTGAAATTAAAATGTCAAAGATCCATTTGAAATGAGCTAATGCAGAAAACTGGCTGATGCTGTGAACTGAATTCAGAGGGCTGACAGAGGCTCAAAGTCCTTGAGTTATAAGCACGGGCCAACACAACACTTTTTCAAAAAGAAAATGAAATCCTTCAAGTGCAGAGACCCAGGGTGAATTTGTGCAGGAGAGACTTATGCGCGATCCATTTCCTAAATTCACAGGTTGTAGCTTTTCAGACATAGCTGCTCCCTGGCTGCCTCTCTCCGCCTTTGCACGGATAAGGGCGGAAGCACAGCGGTTCTTGGTGGGAAGTTTGTGGGGGTGGTCATGATAAATGCACTTGCATTTCTGATTAGGCTTAGGAGGTGGGCCTTTCTGTGGAATTCCATTCTTTAGCCTTCCTGTCACAGAAGGAAATGTACAATGTCACCTCTGACAGAGTCGGTAATGACAAAAACCATAACTTACACGTGGAGAGAGCTTTTAATGATTTCAAAGCATTTTCACATCTGGTCTTTCATTTTGCTGCTCATACCAAGCCTGTGAAATAAATAAAGCAGGTTTTCTTGCCCCCAATGTCCAGATGAGGAAATAGGCACAGAGAGACCAGGGATTTCCTGAAGGTCACCCAGTTCCTTAGTACAATAGCTGGGACTGGAGTCCAGGTGTTTTTATTCCTCTGCTCCCTGCTCCCCTCCCCTCTTAGCACAGTGACTGTTGGGAGGAGGAGAAGGGCAGGCAGTGGTTAATGCTGAGTATGGACGGAGGGCAGCTTGAAGGGATTTTCCACTGGATCGTGACCTCCGAAAGGCCTTGCCCCTGTTCTAATCAGCATCAAAGTAATCATTTGGATGCTATTAGCTATTGAAGGCTGAGTCATTGATTCCATCCTAGCATCCCGACTTAGATTAGAAATCATTTTTGTGAGTGGCCATGTGTATGACAATTAGAATCATTTGTTAGGTTACTTGTTTGATTTATCATTGTTGTCTCAAATTATTAACTTGGAGAATTGGACTCACAGCAAGTTGTTTCTAGGCTGTTCACCGGGTATGAGATTGCACACCTTGGCCTCGCGAGCTGAGCTTGCTTTCTTCGGATACCTGTGTCGGACAAGTGCCCACCCTTGCACCAGAGCACACACCTCCTCACATACCAGCCGTCTCCCAGGCACCACAGAGGTCTCTCTTCTTTGTGCCCAGAACACAATCTGTTGTGGTTTTGTGGTTTCTTTTTCACACGACTATGGGGCATGATGGTGAAAACACAGTTTCAGTTGGCCCGGTGCCTGCAGCCCCTCAGGATGGCCCTGGCTGCTGGCCCCCATTCACTCCATTTGGTTGTAATCAAATTAAATCTTCCCATCAGACGCCAAGGGTAAGACAAACCCTGCTTCAGTGTTGGTTTTTTCTTTTGCAGAGTAATCTCCATAAAGAACTACCATCCGAAGATAAGAATCATCACTCAGATGCTGCAGTACCACAACAAGGTAGGGCAGCGAGGACCTGTCCTAGGCGCAGAAATGCACACCTGGACCCAATCTCTTCCCCCCGTCGTTCAGCCACAACGCACGTGTGTGCATACACATACACCTGCACACATGACAGTGCCATCTGAAGGCCGGGATAAAGAGGGTGGTGGGGAAAACCTTCTGGGGGCATTTCTTCAGTCCAGACAGACACCTTGTTTGCAGCTGGTCACTGGAAGGAAACTCCTTCACGTATTGATTCGTTCATTCGGGAAGCATCTGTCGGACCCCCGTTTCAGAAACATTGATGCATTCTTCGACCCCATTGCAACAACTTCCATTTGTATGTGCTGCACTAATTTCTTTAGTTGGTATTTACTGAGCACCTACTAGGTAGTCAACACTCTGCCTGGCTCCACAACCCCACATGGACAGAGCGATGAAGTCCTGTTTTGTACACTCAAGGATTTAACGCTCAAGGTGTAGACAGTGTCCCAAACAGAACTTTCCTATCTGAGACCAGGTGAACTTGGGGGAACAGAACACATGTTGGGTGGAGGAGGTGGAACAGGCATTCTCAAGTTCGAGATGAGAATCGCATGGTTGAATTCAGGAAATAGTTGGCTTTCTAGAGATGGAGCACAAAGGAGTTTTCCTGGTGTTCTTGCTTCCAAGGGGGATTGGAAAGAAAAGAAATGGTGGAGTCTGTTGTTCCCAGAGCCCAGTCTCATTCAAAGGCAGCGCTTCTTCACTGGCTGGTCATTAAGCTCCCCGGAAACAGCTTTGGGGGAGGGAAGGTAGTACCTTCCTCTGCTTGATGTGGAACCAGTTATCCCCTTAATGCTGCTCAGTACCTGGAACCAGGTGTCCTGTCTGAACAGAATAACTCCCTGCTGGTTTCTGAGTGAGCGTGTGTCCCATCTTCCAGGCCATATCCCCTACGAAATAGGCAGTCAGGTGACCCAGAGAAGGCCCTGCTCTGCCAAATGCGCCAGGGCCGTGCCATGAGTTCTTAATTGCTGGCAAGCGCCGCTCCATTTTGCTGTGTGGAGGCCCATCAGAGGCTGCTGTTCAGTGGAGCCTGCTGTCGGTGACTGGCCCACCACTCGGGTCTGCTGCCCGCTGCCAATCTTGCCCAGCCCTCGGCAGGTGGGCCCACTGCAGAGTGTTGTGCTGCAGCCAGTGGCTTGGTGGGGGGCACCCAAGGTCACGCTGTTCTGTTTGTCTCTGCAAACCCAAGGACACTGAAGAAATGAAGTGAGGATGTTGAAACCTCACAAGCACCAGTTTGGAGATAGTTTTTGACAACAGCTCTGTAGGTGGAGGTGACTTCTCAGTGGGACTATGGCTGGTGACAGCTCCTAAGGCAGCGGACTTTCCTTCTTCCGCTTGAGATTTGAAATTTTATTTAGTGTGGGAGTTCTCGAAGCTGTTTAGATTTTTGGCTGGGTTTAGATTGAATGGGAAAATTAATGGTGTATGTTTACAAAGGGATGTCAGTTTCTTCCTTTCTGCTTCCAATGAGTGCCGATGTGGCATCTTCAAGAAATCAAGGAGGATTTCAGCTGTGATTCTTGTCAAACTCGAAGTAGCTCCACAGACTGAGGATCCAGATGGCATGAGGCTCACAAGCCTCACTTTGCAGTTATTCATAAACAAGGGAGACATCAACTGACCTGGGGTTACTTGCTTAAAACACATTTTGTTTTGAGCCACCCCAGTCTACTGGGTTTCAGAGTTAGGTAAAAATCACCTGTGAGACTCTGTCCCTGTGATTAGTGAGGGTGTGAGGGACAGAGCAACTTGGACACACGGCCTTGCTCTCTCATCTCATCTCTTTCTTCTAGAGAAAGATCAGAAAGTCCACTGGTCATTATTTTATCTTATTCCTTATAGGACTGCAAATAGACCTTCATCTTGCTTAATAATTTTGCTCTGGCCTAGCCAGTGTGGCTCAGTGGTTGAGCATCGACCCATGTACTAAGAGGTTGCTGGTTTGATTCTCAGTCAGGGCACATGCCCAGGCTGTGGGCCCGATCCCCAGTTGGGGGGTGTACAGGAGGCAGCCATTCGATGTTCTCTCCCATCGATCTTTCTATCTCTTCCTCTCCCTTCCTCTCTCTAAAATTAGTAAAGAAAATAATAATAATTATTTTGCTCTGTTTCCTAAGGTCCTCCCACCTACCCTTTTGATGTTTTTTTTTTCTCCATTCTCCACACAGTACTATTTTTCTTCCTCTCTTGGTATTTTCTCTTCACCAGAGATCTCCACCCATTACAACTTGCTTTCAGGAAAGGACCTGGTAGGTGTGTGTAGCTTATGTTACTGTCAATATATCCCAAGAGGTGGTTAATTTTTTAATTGGAAACCATATACGAAATATATAGAATTCCAATCCCCTGTGACCAAATGGTGGTGGTATTCTAGGACCTAGAGGGATGTCGGGAGGCTGCCTGCATTTTCTCCATGTAGAACTACTTCTGAGTTTGTCATCATAATAATCTCAGACATTTGTGTCATATTTTATGGTTTTAAAAGAGCTTTGAAATCCATTATCTCATTTAGTTCTCATCTGACCATCTGTGCATTTTAGCATCCCAGTGTGACTTCAGACTGGGGCTCTAGGCTCAGACAGAGCAGCTCTGGAGGGTACAAATCGTGGTCACTTGGCAGCCAGTGAGCTAAGAAACACAAGTGCCAACTGCCATCGTCTCTTTAGATCGAGCCACAGCCCACTGAACCACGCTGCGGCTCCTCAGCAGGCCTTAAAGATAGATGTTCTCCCAAGTGGCTCTGTTTAATATCACTAGACTCCATGCAGAGACACCCTGGCCGCCTAGTCATCTCTGAACATGGAAAGACTGTGGCCCAGGACATTTTCTGATTTGAGTGTAAATGGCTTGAATCTCTTCAAGGAAACAATAATTTGTGACATCTTAGAAAAGTGTTACTCCTGTTGATTTAGCTGTTACCGGCTTTTTCCACCCCAGCAGACGGGTGAGAGGTCTTTGTCTCAGACCTGGAAGCCAAGTCGTATGGCCCAGGAGTTGCAAGGTCTTCACGCTTTCTCACCATGAACCTTACCCTGGGACAGTGGTACTAAGTGTTTTCTCAGCCGTGACCTTCCTTTTCCTTGTGGTGGCTTCCCCAGGCTTATGGGCTGGAATTCCTCTCCTGGTTTCCCGGGATGACCTGTGTGATATCCCTTCTCTTCTTCTCGAGATGAGCAGCGGTGGCGGCCAGCGGCAGAAGCCGGGAACCCTGCCTGCTAGACCCTGCTCAGCAGGTCTGCTTCTCCATGCTAGAAGGGTCCCTCCCGATGCCCAGGCAGCCATGCCAGGTTTCCCACGGGCCCAACCTACCCTCAAATGGAAAAGGACAGAGTGGCCAGAAGCGCAGTCAGAGTTCCCGGGTCCATCTCCTCTCTTTGTTCCACACTCGCTGAAGTCCCTGGTCCCAGGTTTTGGCACATCCCATGTGGCTCCCTGCCCCGTGATGGCAGAAGATGTGGGGGCAAAGAAAGGAAGCCTGAGAAATGGAACAAATGACTTTCCTGTGTGAACATGTAAACTACATCTAAGGAACTCAAACCAGATGGGCACACGAGGGGCCCAAGACCTAAAGCCTGGACTTCATACCCTGGCAGGCAGGGGATGTGAGAGACCCTCTTGAAAACGTCTTGTTTGTTTGTTTGTTTGTTCATTTGAAGGCCATGAAGGTTATGTAGTATCTGTCTCGGGCTTGGTTTACCCACAACTGCTTTCACACTTGATGATTTAATTGTTCATTACTTAGAGCTAATTTCTCCTCATTCTTCTCAGGGGATGTTAGTGAAAATGAGTATTTCCTCACTTAGACTGATATGTTATTGCTACGATGCCAGGGAAGCAGAGGGGAAAGGGGCCTTCTTAAGCCAGTGGAGAGTCGGAACAGACATGAGCTAAAGGGCAGGGCCAGTTGCTGGATCGAGGGTACGGTGTGTGCAGGGTCTGACACTCAGCCTGACGGGAATTGCCTTGCTCCGGCCCCACGTGGGCTGCTTTAACAATGCCGTCATCAGGAAGGACGCGGTTCTCTCTCCAGGAGCAGACCCCGCTGGCTTAGGGTGAGGAGGTGGCACAGAACTGGATTCTGCAAGAAGGAATTTCACAAGAGTGGCATTTCTGACAGCGGAGCGTGGAGCTTGAGGACCTGCCCTTTCCTCACAATGAGTCTTCAGTCTCCTTCTTGTACAACTGCGTATATTGTTCCGAAAGTGAAGGGCAGCCTTCTGGGTGTTCTTCGCGTTTGGAGAGAAATAGTCACTTCAGGGTCATAGAGTCTTGGCATTAGCAGGACTAGAGGGTTCTCTCCCATGCAAAACAAGTGGTCTTTTGCGGAAACTAGGACACTTGCGGAGTTTTAAGGACAAAGACCTTGCATTGGAGGCAGACCTCTCCATTTCTTAGACAACTCACATCCTTAGAAAGTTCCTTATAAAACAAGCCCAAATAACTGCTTCCTTGTAATATATTCCAGGCAGTCCCAATTCTGCTCTCTGGACCAACCTAATCTCTCTTCATAACAGCACCTAGGTGTTCGGAGGTAACCACCTGTCTCCCTGAAGGCCGGTCCCTCTGCAGGCCAAACACTCTGGCTCCTCACTGTTCTTCAAGAGGTGTGGTCCAGAACCCACCCTCTCTTGTCAGCTTTCTCTGTAAATTATTCATAGGATCAGCTTTGCTTCCTAAATCTGACTGTTAAACTGGATGGAGTACTCTAGAACTAGCCTGACCCATTCATATCAGAATGGAACCTTCACTTCCCTTATCTGGAGACCATTTCTAACAAGCAAGCTTTGGCTTTTTCTGTCATTTGTCACATGGTTGGCCTCTCTGGGTTTTAGTTATCCACATACTTAAGTTTGTTTGTTTTGTTTTTTTCCTTTCTCTTTTTCCTCATGTCTGCTGCCAAGTTAGGTCTTCTCATTTTAAATTTATATAATTTATATAATTGATTTTTCTTAACCTAAGTGCTGTACTTGACATTAAGGTCTTTTAAATCCTTTCTGATTGCCCCCCCCCCCCACACACACACACATTTCTGACTGTGGAGGACTCTTTGAATCATGATTCTTTCGTCTAGTGTATCATCTGTGACTCTGCTTCATGCCACTTAAATGTAACTGGCTGAGCATGCCTCTGGGCCCTGGTCTCAGCGACTGACCCAACTGTCGAACAGGATTGTCTGTGTGCAACAGATTGTGACGTGTGCACACCCGGTTTGCCTGGTGATTTAGGGCAGTGCTTCTCAAGTGTGGTCCCCAGCTCAACAGCTCATCATCACCTGGCCCTTATGAGAAATGTAGGTTCTCCAGCTCTCCCACACCCACTGAATCAGAAACCGTGGGGGAGGGGCCAGCAGTGATTTTGTTCAAACCCTCCAGGTAATTCTGATGCCCACTCAAGCTTGGGAGCCACTGATCTGGAGTATTGGGAAGGCAGATAGAAAATAAATCTCAAGTACACAGACACTGGAGAGTATTAGAGTCTATTTGAGGAGCCAGTTTATGAGCAACCTAGCCAGACATCCTAGGAGCATGGTCCAGTGTCATAAGAGGGATGTCCCTCTGGACTGTATTTGGCTAAAGGACAAACCTGAGGGGAGGCCTCTAGCTTGGTAGGTGCAGGAGCAATGTTCCGCGAGACTGAAGTCTGATGAAGAGGAGAGGTGAGTGAAACACCAGGCACCGGACCCAAGCCAGGGAAAGCGAGGACAGGTCTGGATGACCCTGAGCACTTGGGCAATGCTGTGTTTCCCAGAGGAGATTTTAGACAATTGAACATGTAGCAAAGTAAGGTCTCATCACTGTTCTCTCTCCACAGGCCCATCTGCTAAACATCCCAAGCTGGAACTGGAAAGAGGGTGATGATGCAATCTGCCTGGCAGAGCTGAAGCTGGGGTTCATAGCCCAGAGCTGCCTGGCTCAGGGCCTCTCCACCATGCTCGCCAACCTCTTCTCCATGAGGTCATTCATAAAGGTAACGTCTTGTCCTATTAGAGCACATTAGCCCTGGATTCAGTTTGTCGTGGGGTTGAGTATAGAGCACAGCTTAAACTCAAAACAGATCGGCAGGCTTTAACCACTCTGGTTAAGGAGAAATTCCTTGTTACAGATTTGGGCAAGAGGCCAACTGCTTTCAAAATTATGTTTTTATTTTTATTTGGCACATCCATGGCCATTAAATGATTGTTCAAAGCACAATCCTCTCTTTTTTTTTTAGATAAACCACATGTTTATCTATCAACAAAGCCTCCGCTATTAAAACAAAAATATGATTTATATACATTCCATATGGCACCAGAGCGCCTAAAGAAAAGAATTATCATTTTGCTCTTTTACATCAAGTGGCTGGTGGACCTCTCACTGTGTGGATAAATGCAGACCATGTGTTTGTGCTGAAGCCCAAACCCCAGCAACATAATTCATTTATTTATTTCTGCACAATCAAGGAGGCCAGCAGGGCTGACACGCCACAGTTATTTGAATGGAGAGTGAAATGACGAACCGCGTCCCCGGCAGTGGCGCCCTGTCCGCCATGAGACAGGCGGTCTGGACATGCTCATCTCCTGACAGCCTGTCCACTCCGCTGCCTGCTGGGTCCCACTCTGTGCTCCAGGCCAGGTGTGTCCTAGGACACAGGGCAGAGGGTTCAGGCTCCTACGTCAGGGCCCTTGGAGCTCAGGATAATGCGGACCAGTCCTCATCCGAGGGCTGCGCTCAGCCTCAGCAGTCGAGGTGCACACCAGTACAGTAAGGCCTGTCTTGTTTGGGTCTCTCTGATTGGCATTGGTGGCCACTAGCTCAAGATCTGGGCTTCCATTGCCCTTCCTGCTACTCATTTAGTCACATTCCCCTTCCTGAATCGGTAGGAAGTTAGTGTGTCACCAGGAGGACCCAAAGGGAGCCAAAAGTTGTGAAATCAGAGACATGAGCTCTCCGGCCTTCGCTCCCATTGCTGCCATACCATCGCCGGGGTGAGGACTTTGGTGGAGTTGAGGACATGGCCCTGGTACGGTGAGGGGGACCAACTCCATGTCAGTGCCCTCGGTGCCCATCTGGGCCTCCACGGTTGTTTGACTTAGAACAGGATATTTTTCTAGGTCCTTCCCTGCTGTACCCACCTCATTTACATTATTTAGCCCATTTATAGTTAACATGCCTCTATGGCAGCGGTTCTCAATCTGTGGGTCGCGACCCCTTTGGGGTCGAATGACCCTTTCACAGGGGTCGCCTAAGACATAACAGTAGCAAAATTACAATTATGAAGTAGCAACAAAAATAATTTTATGGTTGGGGGTCACCACAATATGAGGAACTGCATTAAAGGGTCACGGCATCAGAAGGTTGAGAACCACTGCTCTATGGAGGAAGACAAACTGTCTTGCGTCCCTTCAGTCATTTGAGCAGTGGATGCCTTGATTGGAAAAACTCTCTAGTCTCTGTGCCCAAAGACCTCAGCTTCCCTGGAGTGCTGGCTCAGACCAGCACACAGCAAGGACAGGGTGTCTCTTTCAATGGCTGCTTGAGTGCAGGCCGCTAGTCGGCTCCTGGAGGAAACAGGGCGGGCGACATGGGGCGGTGGGTGGTCCTGTGGCTGGACGTAGAGACAAGCCCCAAAGCCAGATGTAAGCTCGTGTGTCTCAGGGCTCTTCTGTTCCACACAAGGAGCCCAGACCAGGATACAGAACTGTCGCCTAGAGCCTGTTGGCTTGTTCAACAAGCCCCGCGGTTTCTCCCAGCAGGGACTCGCCCATGGGTCCAGGCCCGGGTCTGATGACCTGGGCTCTGCTTCCTCGGGCTGATGTAATGCAGCCTCGGCAGGGCCCGCTGCTACGGGGCACTTGACATGCGGATGTTTTGATTTTGTGGTGCCTGCCTGGAAACTAGAGCCACCTGTCAGGGAAATTACTAAAATGAATATGACGCTGATTCTCCAGTGCTATTACCAGCAGGGAGAAAGCACTCCTGTCCAGCTTCCCTCCAGACGCTGAAGGGCCTCACCTCTGCAGCCAAGGATGTCCCCTGCAGCCGCACCGAGCCCACTGCCAATTTCCTACTTAGGAAGAGCCTGTGGGAGAGGCCCGGCTCGGCTCGGTATAACTGAAAACACATTTCCCACTTGGGGTTATGTTACCGTGTTGTTTGTGTCCCGGGCCAACTGCTCGGGGTTTAGGAGTAGCTTGGCCAAGTGACATTCAGGTGGTCTTTGTGTTGGAATTCACTAAGCACATGACCTGGAAATAACAAGGCTTCCTGTCTTCTATTTTTCTCCTAAGTAGGGCAGCCTTAGCACATGCTCCCCATTCTGTAGTGTCATCTCTGCACTCACCTCCAGGTCCCAGACCCTGTCTCCTTTGGTTCATAGTGCACACCACCACGATGCTCTCCTTGGAAAGGTTTATATATTATCTCCCATTCCAGGAGTCACAAAGCCTTCACTTATTTTTATTTGGGGGCAGATGGAAAAGGAAGTCTGTAAGTGGATTATTGTTTACAGAAATTGCTTCCTCCCCCAGTGTCCCCCATGTCCTACACAGCACTTCCATGGGGACAGGCAGTCCTATTAGGATGCAGGGAGATGGGGTGGGGCTTTGGCAACATCTGATCCCTTGAGAACACAGCATTTCTCGAAGCCAAAGGTAGAGTGTGAGCTCACCTCTCCCTTGCCCTGGGCAAGTGCGGTGTCTGTTTCTTGGTTTCCCAGCATACACTGTACTCGGTCCCTATGGAGAGAAGAAGGAAGAGGAATATGACTGATGATATGTCACAGGCTCAGTGACTAGCCCCGGGCTTTTAAAGCCAAGACTGAAAGCGAGGGCGAGGAAGCCCAACGAGAGGGCTACTGGTATATAGCAGGTGCAAGACAGACCCAGCCCAGAGGCTACAGGGAATATGGGGGAGTACTTGCCTATCCCCTCAGCCATGTCAATTTCAAAGATCCTCATCCTGGGGCCCCAAGTCATTGCCCCCGAAAGCCTCGCTCCCGTAGTGCGTATGTTATCTCTGACTGAATCTAAAATTTTGGGAATCTATTTATGGTTTTAGCCCACATCTTCAGGGGAATGAGTTTTTTAAGCTTGCCTTTAATTAATTTCACTTAACCTTCAAGGCACGCATTCTAGTTTGTGGTGTGCTGAGATTTGTTGAATAAATCCATGCTAACTTTACAACCAAGGCCTTTATGAAGGGGCTGAATTGGCCGCTCAGGGGTCCTCTGGCCCAGTGGCTCGTTGCTAATGACAGGTTACACATTTTGTCCACAACACCTAGTTTTGACCTCAAGTTCCTTTAACGAGTGAAGGCAAATTTCTGGTTCCTGTGACTTGTCAACGTCTGCCTTATCAACCAGGCCTGGAGTGGCCTGTTCACTTACCACTGTCTGACCTCCTGCCACCTGCCTGCCAGGTTCGAGGCAGCATCTTCCTGCTGTCTTCTAGAATGATCAAGACAATGAACTTAGTTAGCCTGTCTGCCACGGCCTCACCCTGAATAAGTGGCCACACTTATCCTCTGCTTGGCTTCCTCCCTTGGATGTAATTTAAGATTCATTGATTTTTTTTTTTTTTTGGTTTTAGAGTCTTACCATGTAATACTTCACTTTCGCTCCAACATATCTGGTTTCAAGTTGGGGCTTGACCTGCTATTTTTGTGAATTGTGCTATTATTCTTACTAGGATTAGCTGTCCTTGGACATGATAAATTGTGTGTGTGGGTGTTGTGTGTATTTAGAGGGTGATTAATTCTTAAAATTTCTTTTCAGTCTGCACTAAGTCTTCAAATTGAGCACATTTAAATTGTTCTCAGGATTGCCAACTCTTTTAACTCCATGAACCTACCATTTTATACACGCATGCGCGCATGTGCGCGCGCGCACGCACACACACACACACACACACACACACACACACAGCCTGGAGCATGCCAGGCATTCCGTATTATTTCTTGGTTGGACAAATCAGTTATGAAACTGGAAAAATTATGTGGTATACTTTTTAAATTTTTTTCTATTTTATAAGTTGGAAAGTGGGTGAAATTTACTTACCATTGATGACAATGCAGCCGTTCCTGCACACTTTCTGCGTGTGAACGAGGAAGCAGTAGGGAAATGGTCCATGTCGTTAAGATTGTATCTGGGCTGAGGAGGCGTCTGCTGGACCTGAACACCATTTGTCGTTGTTGTTATCACCATGTTGAGATAAACTTTCAACAATACATAATCCTAGCAATAATTGTGGCCAAGGGAATAAATTTTTTAATACTTTTATTTTGGGTTATGTTTATGTGCATAAATGTGTGAATAAAAACATGATTTAGGAGCTAGAAATATAAGTCAAGGATCTTTAATAACAGCTGAACTATATTAAGCCCCAACTATGTGCCAAGCCCTGTGCTGTCCTTTATATGCACTATCTCATTTAATTCTCCCAGTGACCCTACCCAGACATGGCACTGTTATTACCCCCAATTTGCAGGGGCAGACAAGTTCAGCAGCCTGGGAGAGGACATAAAGTTGGAGTGATGAACTCAGACATGTGAACCCAGGAAAACTGGTTCCAGGCTTGTCCCTGAGTATACCAAGAGGAGATTGGATCAGCGATAAGAGGGAACCTTAGCTAGTGCCATCATCTTAGCACAAATCTTAGCTTTCTGTAGTTTATCTTATGGAAACTGTTGATTCAGTTGAGATTCCTTGGCCACCTACCATGTTCTAGGCAGTGTACTATCAGGATGTCATCCTACAGCTAGGAGGTGCTGATGGGCTTCTAGAAGCTTCCGCTCAGACTGGGATGTGTGGGCACAGGGTTGCACAGCCCCATCATGTAGATCATATTGGCCTTTCTCTCTGGCCTCTCTGCAAGGGTGCAGTCACTGTATCAAGGCAGATGAGGGGATGAGTCAGGGTGGGGAAATGAATCACCATCCAAAGAAGGAATTGACATCATGCACTGCTGTATTTGGGGGGTAAAGCTAATTGGC